TTTTTTCGAGACAGGGTTTCTCTGTAGCTTTGGAGCCTGTCCTGGAACTCCCTTTGTAGACCAGGCTGGCCTCGAACTCACAGAGATCTGCCTGCCTCTGCCTCCCGAGTGCTGGGATTACAGGCATGCGCCACCACCGCCCGGCCCAAGCACATTTGTTTAAGGTGTCCTGTGTCAGGTGGACCACCTGACTGTGACAGAGGAAGAGCAAAACAAAAGATCTAAAGGAACTTGCTTTGCAATGACTGCGCTCAGTGACAACCATGTGTGTCTCTAGTAAACGGTTAGATGGAGGATGTGAAAGCTAAAGTTCTGAGGGTCCCAAAAAGTATTTTAAGGCATGTAAATGACAGTTCTGAAGGAATGAGAAAGTGACATAAGAGAATAAAATATGTTTCAGATCCCCCACCTCCGTGCTATTGTTATATTAATATTTCAAAGGTTCAAGAAAACTATTCTCAGTGGTTCAACCAGACCACTCCGGTGGTGGGGCTGGAGCCTGTTCACCAGCAGGTTGCCAAAAGGAGACACACCTGTCCCCTATGCTTGCTTTCTCTATGCTCAAACAAGAAATTACTGTTGATGTTGGCCAGAGGCTAATGGAGGCTACCCTTAGTGGTCCTGTAGGAGTCATGATGCGTAGTCAGGGAAGCATGTTTGTGCAGAATGGGGCATCTTTTATATCCTAATCAAGGACCTGTGGCACCCCAGATGGGAGAGGTGGATCCCTGGTAAACTTCAACATTTATCACAGCTGCCCATGAGGCATGATCACAATACAGAGGGTACACACCCTGCTCTCTCAACCCCTAGGTACAGGCTCTGTTAAAGAAGTGGTCCAAAACTCCTGCATCCCTAGTATCACCCCTCTTAGATGATATTGACCCCACCTCCCCATTACACCGTCTTGTTTCAGACCGTAACCTCCACATATCAGCCTGACTAACCACCATCTGTGGCCTGTTAAGACTCTCTCACCTCACCACTCTAAGTCTAACATCTCTGAGGGGAAAGGTATCTTGGCAGTCAGGAGCCAAGGACTATCACAAAGTCATGCTGAACAAAAAACCTCACAAGAGAAATTTATTGGGAAAGACACGGGAGAAAGGGTGACTGCTTCTGCTTGGGTGAGAAGCAGCAAAGAACTGAGAGGCAAGCTTTATAGTTTCTTGGTGGGTGGAGCTGTCCAGGGTGACCTGATCTTGGGGCAAGCTCAAGGATTGGTGGGATTTTGTGGCCAGATTTGAGCTTTTTTTTTTCCCCTGAAGGGCAGGATCTGGAAAGGGCCATTAGAGAAGCCTAGACTCAAGGAGCTGGGTTTGGCTGTTTTGCTGTAAGCTAAATAACACTACCACCCCTTATCTCTCTGCAGCATCTCAGTCTGCTTTAACTCCCCAGGGACACACTTTCTGGGTACCCTGGATTCTGCAGATTGTGAAAGTACCTTGATCCTTAGTACTACCACCCAGTCCAGTCCCCTATGCCCAAACATTCACAATGCTTCAATTCTCTTCAGCACTCAAGTTTACCACTGCCTGCCGGCTTGGTGGTCCAGGAGTTGTGCCCTGGTGTTCCTTTTTCCAAAACTAGGGGTGGCACCTGGTGAAGAACCCTTGCCAATTCCCATCACAAGGTTTACAGTGGCATGGTATGACAAAGGGGCAGTTCAGGTCATAGCCTCTAGCAGTCCTGGGTACGACCACTAGTGTTGCTACTGGAGTCGCAGGACTGTTTCCCTAGCTATGTACCATTGGTTTTCCTATCGGTTCACGCAGCATCTCCAATGGGTGGCTCAGACCATCCTCACCTTCCAGGGCCTCATAGACTCGCTGGCCCCTAGTGCTACAAAATCTGCGAGGATTAGAGTTACTAACAAAATCCCTTCAATCCCAGGCCACCTTGGACCCCGCCCTCCAAGAAACCCTATATAAAGCCTGCTTCTCACTGGAGCAGAGGCAGCCACTTTTCCTCCTGTATCTTTCCCAATAAATCTCTATTGTGAGGTTTGTTGTGCTGTTGACTTTATGGTATTCCTTGGTTCCCCACTATCAGGACAGCCACCTTTCCCCTCAGAGCTGCAACACTTAGATATACAACATCTTAACCTTTCTGAGTCATTTTTTTTCCAAATATATTTTCTAAAGGATTCCCATATTTGCTGGGTTAAGTTACTCAGGGAAGGCTAAATTAACCCAGTAGAAAGGGCTTCTTAATCTATGGGCAAAGTACAAAGCCCTGAGACCAAAGTGGTCACAGACATCGTAGAGAATGTTTGAGACAGGGTCTTACTCCGCCACTCTAGCTAGCCTGGAACTCACTTTGTAGATCAAGATGGACTCAAACTCAGAGAACCGCTGCCTGTGCCCCCCAGAGTGCTGGGATTAAAGGCTTGGGTCACCGCAACTCGCCTTGACAAATAAAACCCAAAGTAGAACTAAAACATTTGTATTTGCTGATGCACGCCTATAAAGGAGGCTGAGACATGAAAGATCCACCCCGCCCCTATCACACCCCCTTTTGATTACTATAGTAGCCCCCCCACCCTTCGCCTCCTCGCCGCCTGCGTGAGCCAGACAGATTGTATCCGAAGGCCATTTAAAGCTGGGCGCACGGCAAGACATGACAAAAATGCACTGCAGCCGGAGAACACAGCACCTCTCAAAGCGAAAATCAACACAAGTGCGGCCCAGCTCCCGAGATTCGGGCCCCCTTCAGCCACCCGTGTTCCTCCCCGCGCCGCCCCCCCCCCCCCCCCCCCCCCC